CTTGAACATTGGGTGCTATCTAACAAAATGAAATTCAATGGTGAAAAAAGTGAGGTTCTACATTTAGGCAAGAAAAACCAAATGCACAGGTACAATATAGAGCTATAGGTGATACCTCCCTCAATAGTAATAAATGCAAGAGGGATCTTGGAGTCCTAGTGGACAATCACTTAAATATGAGCCAGCAGTGTATTGCACAGTTCTAGGCTGCATTAACAGAGGGATAGAATCAAGATCGTGTGAAGTGTTAATACCAATTTATAATGCCTTGGTAAGGCCGCACTTGGAATACTGCATCCAGTTTTGATCACCATGATGTAAAAAAGATGTTGAGACTCTAGAAAGAGTACAGAGAAGAACAACAAAGATGATTAGGGGCTGGAGATTAAAACATATAAAGAACGGTTGCTGGAATTGGGTATGTCTAGTTTAAGGAAGAGAAGGACTAGGGGTGACATAACAGCAGTCTTCCCAATATCTCAGGGGTTGCCACAAAGAAGAGGGAGTCAAGCTATTCTCCAAGCACTTGAGGACAGAACAAGAAGCAATGGGTGGAAACTAATCAAGGAGAGAAGCAACCTAGAACTAAGGAGAATTTTTCTGACAGTTCAAACAATTAACCAGTGGAACAACTTGCCTCCAGAAATTGTGAATGCTCCAACACAGGAAGCTTTTTTTTAAGAAGAAAAGGAGTAGCAGAACCTGGGGACAGAGTCAAAAAAGGAATCAGCCTAGAATCTCTACATAGCCCCAAACTGACAAGTCCAAACTTTCTTGAATTCTGTTAACCCTTATCTAATGCCAAAATAATGCTAACCATTAGTTGAGTAGACTTCTTTGCATAGGTTTTTTTTTACCTGTATACATACATACATACATACATACATACATACATACATACATACATATATATTCAATGATGCAATCTTCGATCTCCAGGAAGAGTATACTCCAGTTATTTATTGTTAAAACAACATTTAAAAACAATAAAAACAGTTATATACAAGGTTAAAACAACTTAGCTTTCGCTGGTCCTCTGCCAGCGTCCTCAGAGTGGGGCTTAGGGGGTGGGAAAGTTCTTTTTATCCCCTTGCTGATACAACTGCCTACTCATTGCCCTCGTGACAGGGCCACTCTTCCTGATTGCCTGTAACTGCCTTAACTGTTCCGCCCTCTCTTTTTTGCACTCTAATATTGTATTTTTCTGCTCTGTCATCCTAGTGCCGCCTACTCCTCCCTGCGCTGTTATTACCAACACACTCCTCAATCCCTCCTCTCTACCCTAAATGTTGTTTTAACAATAAATAACTGGAGTATACTCTTCCCGGAGATCGAAGATTGCATCATTGAACAAATATGCCCGGGATTCATATTTTTACAACCATTAAGGATATATATACACATACCATACACATACATGGACATACATATACATATGTGTGTGTGTATACGCACTCATACACACACACACATACACAAATATACATATATTAATCTCAGACCATTTAGAATACATAAAGGAAAAAAGAGTCTCGAGAGTTAACAAGGTTGATACTATAACAAGAAACCCTTGGTGAGGAAGAAATCATTAACTCTATTCCTCATACATTTACAATGTCCCAGTGATGATAGGAGTTCCATTTGTGATATTCCACTGATGATACAAATGCAAGTATTCCACCAAAAGTGATGTAGTACAGAAGGAAAAAGAAACAAAGAAGTTACAAAAACTGTATAAATCCCAATTCATAAAAAATAATAATGTCAGGCTGATACAGTTTCAAAAAGACAAATATTATCATTTCAGGGTGCTTTATATGTACAGTAGATAAGTTATATGTATCCCAGCATGTAGGAATGGTAACTCTTGGTTTTCTTCAGGTATATATATAGGTTAATTCCATCCTGCTGCCACCTCAATTTAGAAACTTGCCGGCAAAAAGAAAATCTACAGAAATTATTTCTTCAGATTTTCCCGCACATTTCTTTAAAATATGCATGCAAGGGAGTGCAAATTTATGTCTGCCTCCCTTGTATCTGCCCAAATGATCTGATTGGGAACCCCTGTTCTAGACCAATCCCCTGCTCAGGCAGGAGACCCGACCTATATAATTCCAGATAAATGTCTCTCCAGTCTCTTCTTGAAAACCTCCAGTGATGGAGCACTCACAGCTTCTGGAGGAAAGCCATTCCACTGATTGGTTGTTCTCACTGCCAGGAAATTTCTCCTTAGTTCTAGATTGGATTGCCCTTTGATAAAGTTTCCATCCATTACTTCTTGTCCTGCCTTCATTGGAGAATAGGTTGACATCCCCTTTTTCTTTGTGACAGCCTCTTCAATATTGGAAGAGTGCTATTATATCATCCCTAGATCTTCTCTTCATTAGGCTAGACGAACCCTTTTCCCATAACTGTTTATTGTATGGTTTAGCAAGAAGTCTAGTTGTTCTAGTTGAGAGGAAGTGCTGTTCCAGTGCAGTTGCTTCTCTTCTACTGTAGGTGCTGCTGAGCTCCAGGTCCAGCCCCAAGCTCTGCTCTTAAGCAGGGTTGCTTTTGAGCACTCCAGCTGAGCTTCAAGCCAAGCTCCGGGCAGGATTCCCACCACAATATATTGCTTGCTGTACTTTGTGTTCTTGGCTGTTGATTGATAGTCATGGCTTACAAGCGACTTACTCACTTGTAAGCCATTTGCTATCTCCATTTCTCCTACACACCCACTCTGATTTGGCATTTGAGTTTATAAACTAAGGATCTGGGTGGTGTGGGGATGTTGACATGTCTTTGAAAATGACAACGTGTGCTGGAAGTCAGCAGGAATACTTATGAATACAGCTCTGAGGAAAGGAATGAATGCCTGAGGGATGTGTGTGTGTGTGTGCATGCATGTGAGAGAGAGAGAGAGAGAGAGAGAGAGAGAGAGAGAGAGAGAGAGAGAGAGAGAGAGAGAGAGAGAGAGAGAGAGAGAGAGAGAGAGAAATTGTCTGCAGGCCATCAATTAGTTTAAAACAACTAATTTCACTCTTTCAAACTTCTTTTTCTTTGTTATAAACTGCTCATAATCTCTAGGAGTTGAATGGTGTCTAGTTTGCAGAAGCCCCTATTTCAAAGTACCCCTTTGATTTCCTATTTCTAAGCATTATGCACTCCTCAAAGTTCCCAGTAGCAAAACAATTGTCTTCTCAATCTGTGTAACAAAAGCATTGAAATTCCCTCATGCAGGTGCTAGAAGGACCTGCTATGAAGAAACGAGAGATTTCTTTGCAAACTACAGTTGGATTTCAATAGCATTCTAGTTTGTACTGGAAACACTTGTGTGTGTATATATTATATTATATATGTGTGTGTGTGTGTTATTATATGTGTGTGTGTGTGTGTGTGTGTGTGTTTATTATAATAAACACTTAGCTTACTGTGGAGCTACTGTAGACAGCTTACAATAATAAAAAGAAAGAAAATGAAAGGAGTATAAACAGAAGTAAAATAATAGAGTAAAATAAACAGTGACAAAGGAACACGAGAATAAAACATCAATGTCATAACTAAAAAGATAATGGATATATTCTGTGTAATGTGCCTTTGAGTCAATTTTTGATTCCCAGTGGTTGCCTAGACTAATCTTTGCAATTTTCTTGGCAAGGTTTTTGGGAAGTCGTTTGTCATTGCTTCCTTCCTAGAACTGACAGAGAGTGACAAGCCAAAATCACCCAGCTGGCTCTGAATGTGGAACTAGAACTCATAGTCTCCTGGTTTTTAGCATGGTGCCTTAACCTCTACGCCAAACTGGATCAGACTTCGATACCTAAAAATTCACCTAGGGTTTCTGTTGTTTTTTTGTATTATTACTTCTTAAGGTGTTTTTTATATAAACCTTACATAAAAAATGGTTAGTTTTTAGATTTATGTTAGCCCTCCTAGGTAAAGCAGACAGGAAACATAACTAGATAAGCTAATTCTACTTTATTGTTAGGCTACATCAACAGAATAATTGCAGGTCTGAAGATACAAGCTTCTGAATGACATTTTTAATTGCCTGAACAATTGGGAGGGGTCTTTCCTAAGTTTTTCCTCTAACTATTAAGCCACTAGGGGCTCCTCCCTCTCTTATTTCTTTGTTTCCTAGGTAGCATTTCTTCCCCTCGCTCCTCAAGCTCATTCTCACATACCATTGTTACTATGCCAATTGGGATTTCTTGGAACTTAATCACTGCCCATCTACACAGCCTCAGGTTGGAGATGGCTAAGTTTGGGTATTGCAATTGTTGAAAGAAAAGTCTTCATCCTTGTTCATCCAAGCTAGGGATAAATAAACAACATGGCGACTGCTTTAGAAAGAAGGTTGCAGTTTATTGAAGAGCCAGAAAGATGGTTCTTGCAGGAAAGACCAAGAAAAGAAGGGGTGAGCACATGTAGCAAGTAGGTTTTTATACCCTCCCTAGCCTTTTGTTTGAAATAGTTTTCTGTTCCTGTGTTGAGGCTTTTTATTTCCTGCGTCACGTATTCTGACCTGAGTCTGGGTGTGCCCTTTGGCCTTTGTGAGTTAATCCTACAATGTCCTGTCACAGGTGGGGTACGCAGATTTTACGTCTTTGTCTTCTTGAGCTTCTGGCTCCAACTTTCCTGATGGTTTACATCTGCATTTGTACAGGGTTGGCTTCTGCTTGGGGGAGGGAGACCTGGGACTATCAAGGAAAACTGGGCATGCTTTTCTGTCTCTTTAAGATCCTTGAAGAAAATATATTTTTCTGCCCTTTTAATATTTCCTTCTCTGGGGAAGGCTGACTTCCCTCACAAGTATCTTTTGCATCATGCACTGGAACACCTTGCACCTTCCAGCAACCATGTAAAAATGGCATTTCTTATTTCACATGGCATGAACCACCCAAGCGTCCAAATCTGCTTTTCCTTTTGTGCTCCAGGAATTGTAGGCAGTTGCTGGTGGAATGTTTCATTTCAAAACCCTTGCAAACATTCTCTGGCTTCAGAAGCGCAGCATGAAAAGTCTGTTCCAGTTGTATTTCAAGAGGCAGAGGAAGAATAGGGCACTCAGGAGCTGTGGGTTCCACCCTGGGACTGTCAATCTTGTATGGTGAGTAAACGTTGACAGTTTACCTTGGCAAGGATGACGGCTGTCATTGAACTGAAATGCAGCCCAGTTTTTTGGCCAGAAGTTCCCCTACAGCTGATAATTTTCATATAAAAACCAACAAAATCAAATATAAAATGTTTTCTTTTGGGATTTTGTGTTCTACAGGGCAAACTATCAAAGAATAAACAAACAGCATTTGAAGCCAAAAATACTTACCTACCTATCTATCTACCTACCTACATCCATCCATCCATAAAATGTTGATCTGGCTTTAAAGAATGAATTGTATAGAAAATTTCAAATTTGGCCCTCCTAGTCATTCACCAGAAATGTTTGGAAGCTTTAGCCACATATGTTGTTTTATAACCTAGCCAGGGTTATAATGTAAATAGAATGAGGAAACAAATCCATTGAACACTGCTCTGAGATCCATGGAGAAAGGGTAGAATTAAAATATCATGTCACACAAATGCAGAATTCCTTTAAACTTTAGGATGAAGCTCATTGGAAAGATGACCCAGAAATCAGGCACTTGTTGGTGTTTGATATCCCCCCCCCCCGTGTGTGTGTGTGTGTGTGTGTGTGTGTGTATGTGTGTGTGTGTGTAGAGAGATCCTGCAACAGATCCCCACCAATTATGGTTGAGATTCACTGCTTCCAACCAACAGCTTTTATAGACCTGGCTCATTATGTACATTGTGATAATTTGTCACTCATTATCTTGCAACATCCACCACCTGCTACATGTTGCAGCCAATTCAATGACTGACAATCTAACAGCAAAATCCCAAATATGCACCAATGAGGTGGGGAATTTATCAAATATATCCATTTGGCTTGGTGGGTCAAATGAGCATGATCCAATGGAGTCCATTAATTAATTAATGAACTAATTTTCATTGATATTGCACCTTTATTATTTTCATAAACAACATACACGTCACTTGCTTGTTTATAATGTGCTAAGAATATTTCTCTTTACTTGCTAAGCCATAACGTTTCTCTAAAATCTGTTTCAATCATCCAGAGATGATTTGAGGAGGTAGGAAAATGAGGCCGATGTGATGCAGATATATATTGTTTACATGCATGCAAAGATGGAATTCAGTATTCAGTAAGAGATGCTCAGTGATATAGACCTATTACCCATTGGGTCAATTATTTGTCAGTTATCAATAAGGGCCAAGTCAATCCTGAAAATGGACAAGAAATAAAAATAACTGCAGACCAATTCCTATGGAAATAAATTTCCCTATTTTTCCCCATACTCAGAGCTTTGATTTTCAACTTCATATTTCCTATATTCTTGAATTATCCAGCTAATTTAATAACATGTAATATATTTAATTAACTGAGCTACAGTTTACTGATCCATTATGGAGAAATAATAACCAGAGAGAAGGAAGGCAATTTTTTTCCCTCTGATTAAATTTAATCCTAACACAGCAACAAATTTTAAAACATTGCCACTCATTGTCATCTAGTTTAGACGGATTGAAAATCCCTATCGTATTGACCCCAATTGTATTATAAAATCTTTTCTCAAGGTCTGATCTTGAATTAGAAGAAGAGAATTTTTTTTAATTAAGGAATGAATTATGTTCTTTCCCTGAATTAAAACCTCATGCATTTTTGTATGGACTGTTAATTCTTTGGGATTTTAATGCTGTACTGTAAAGGTAATGATTTCTCTGAACACAATACTGGAAAATTATAGAGAAGAGGGGTTTTTTTTTTATTTCAGAGCTTATCTGTATGAAATGAAATGACTGACTGATCAGACCATGCTGATTTAAAATGTTTACCCCTTTAAATAAACAGAACACGTGTTAATGTGAAACTGAATGCCAATCAGCTTTACTGACTTTGGGGCTCATGCAAATTGATTGAATTTAATCAGTGGAGTCTATGATAGCCATGATCTCATAGTGCCTGGAATAAGCTTCCCCAAAGCCATAAGAAATGTTAATTTTCCTTTTCTAAAGAGACAGATTGGAGATGAACCCAAATCTAGCTTTTTTTTTCCATAATGGAAAAGGGGCCATAATAGATAATGTAAAATCAATCAGAAATTCAAGGAGGTGACATGTAGCTTTGTGTTGCTAAGGCATCCCAGTTTTCAGACAACACATTCAGTCAGACTAGGGAGAAAAAATATCTTGCAATGAATGAGACACACAGTTGCCTTCTAAAAAAAAGAAAGTCAAAAACAGGAAAGAATCCAGAACCGTTGCCATATCTTCATTCTGTCCTGCTTGCATAAACCATAGAAATGTTTGATTTTGGGATGGGGCATTCCCAAAGTAATATATCAATTGCCCTATTAATTGATAGAAAGCAAACATTAATCAATCAGAAGATATTGTATTAAAAGATTTACAGAATAACAGAATTGGAAGGGACCTTGGAGGTCTTCTATCTAGTCCAACCCCCTGCTCAGGCAGGAAACCCTATGCCATTTCAGACAAATGATTGTCCAATCTCTTCTTAACCTCCAGTATTGGAGCACCCATAACTTCTGGAGGCAAGCCGTTCCACTTGTTAATTGTTAATTGTCCTCACTGTTAGGAACTTTCTCCTTAGTTCTAGGTTGGTTTTCACCTTGATTAGCTTCCATCCATTGCTTCTTGTTCTGCCTTCAGGTGCTTTGGAGAATAGGTTCATCCCCTCTTCTTTGTGGCAGCCCCTTCAATGATATTAATGAATTTAAGAATAATCCTCACTAAAAGCAGGGGGGGTTTTGAAGGCAGAAAGATCCAGAAGAATTACAGCTAGATGGAGCAATGTTACAGCTCAATATAAGTCAATTGCTATTGTTACCAACATGCAGTGTTGTTGGTTTTCCTCTTAATTAAAATACAAATGTTCTGCTTCTGTTGATACTTCTACAAAATTCCCACTATAGCTCACTTTTCAGAGGCAAAGCTCCAGTGGATACTAAGATGTAAGATAAAACAATAGAGAACTTCTTGCAGATCTTTGGCAAGAAGAACATTGATTATGCAACCTTCTGAAGGATAAATTTGATGTCATACAGAAGCTTCAGTCATAGGAGTTTGAGTCACCTTGCAGTGAGAAATTCGAATGATGAAATTCTGTGCCCTTTGAGCTTTGTGAAATTTTTTGAAGGAAGGTCATAAAATGAAGCATTCTTGCATGCTAACTTAAAGGATGCAAAATCAAAGGATAATGCAGAAGCATCTGTCTGTGGCAGCACTGGCATCCTTCCAGCTGTCTGTAGGACATGAAAGAAGAGGAAGGCCTAAGGAGAAGGAATACTTAAGTGACCATCTGTGGCTGGAGCCAATTTCCTTTTCAGAAAATTGAAGAAGAGTTGATAGAGGTGCTGTTGACCACAGCCTGTGCACACTTATAAAATTAGCCCTACCGAAGCTGACCAAAAATGTTTTTAATCCTTTAAATAAAAACAGCAGTAACTGATACCAGTCTGACTGCCTTTTTTAAAAAAAGAATAAATTTGGAAACCTAGTTCCTATTTTTGTCTTCTGTTTACATTCCGCTAGCACTAGTGGTTGATAAAACTTTGTGTTTTGTGTTTTTTTTTTGTTTTGTTTTGTTTTTTTGTGGCTTCAAGTCAGTCTTGACTTCTGGCAACTCTCTGAAGAAAGTCTCTGCAATTTTCTTGGCAAGATTTCAGAAGTGATCTACCATTGCTTCCTTCCTAGGGCTGAGAGGGTATGACTGGCTTCACAATCAGGACATTCTAAGGCAGACTAGAATTACAGCTTCTTTCCTGATGCCTTAACCATTATAACAAACTGGTACAGATTTAGACTCCATAAATTATTTCCTTTCTCATCTAACTTGATGGCTTTCTGTAGCAAACAATATATCTTGTTAAAAAAAGTCACTTGGGTGCCAAGGATCACAAAACATGTCTTTCCTTCCTTCCTTCCTTCCTTCCTTCCTTCCTTCCTTCCTTCCTTCCTTCCTTCCTTCCTTCCTTCCTCTTTCTTTCTTTCTTTCTTTCTTTCTTTCTTTCTTTCTTTCTTTCTTTCTTTTGTTATATTTTGTTCTAAATGCAAAGACCATTGGTCCATCTGGACATTTTGCCATTCTCCAATATGTATCTGTGTGTGTGTGTGTGTGTGTGTGTGTGTGCGCGCGCGCGCGTGCATGCGCACATGTGTGTGTGTTATATCTAAATTAATTTGAGGAATAGATGACACCTTTTATGTTTTAATATATTAGTTTACAAACTACAAAGCTATTCCCTGGCCTTCAGTTACACACAATCCTCAGAAATAAGGTAAATGTTAAAACTCCTCAAAATGAATTCAGCTTCAGTGACTACATAAGCATCCATGTAGTTTTTGCTGGACCATATTTGTCTTCTTGGATACCTTTATGCCTTCCCAGTAAATACAGGTGTTTTTCCTGATGGTCTCCCATTCATATATTAAGCAGGTTCAGCCAGCTTAGCTTTTCAAGATCAGCCAAAGTCACTAGGTGTTGCTATCCATTAGATCCCTCAGAAATAGCTATGTTCTAGTGTTCCCTAGAATGTTCCATTTTCCTTGGAAGGGGTCAATCCATAAGTTCTAGCATGATTCATCCATTTTGGGGGAAAGTATGTTTTCTGAAACAGGACCTTGAAAGTGAACAGACCACCCTTGAAACACTTCGATCAGCCTATTCTGGACAGTGAGACAAAATATTCTAGAAATAAACTAGCTATTTTTCACTAGGCCAACATCTCATGATTTTGTACAGGAATTAGTACACACGTGCCCACAGTACATGTACACATGTTTTGTCCTGACAAACATCCTTGTGAGCAAAAGTTCAAAGTTCTAGTCTGTATCTACATTTAAACCTAATGGCTTTCAAACCGTACAGGTAGTCCTCGACTTACAACAGTTCATTTAGTGATCATTCAAAGTTACAACAGCACTGAAAAAAGTGACTTATGACCATTTCTCACACTTACAACCCTTGCAGTATCCCCACAGTTACGTGATCAAAATTCAGATATTTGG